CAGCTGAAAATATACTGGCGCTGGATATTGTGACTGGCAAGGTACAGAATTCAAAGATGGCAACTTTTGGCACATTCCCGTAATCTGGGCGACATGTTTTCAGAGGCTTCGTGAGCAACTCGAGCCTTCTCCGGATTCGCAAGCATCTCAAGGCCCAAAACTGGCTCGTGGTCGTCCCACACAACAAGGCTTGGGGCACGACACGAGGGTGATGGGGACACCGCTCTTGCTGTTACGCATTTCATGGAAGATGACGCTGCCATATCATGCTTATTTGCACGGGGGGTCGTTCTGACTCGCAACTGCCGTGCACGGCGTCGTGCTTGAACTGCGCGATTCAATGCGGTTCGCCAACTCACCTTTCTTGCATATGGCCCATCGACGCCTGTCCTGTCCCAAAACGCATAAAAACCCTCGGCAACCAATGATCGCACGAGCGCTCTAATGATATGACGGAGGTCAAACGGCTCGGTGAGTGTAGCGTATCGGATTATTGGATGCATACATTCCATTGATGATGGAATCGCTTATTGGCATCATGGCATAGGCTATATTGACTATGCATAACTTATGGGCGTTCCTGGATTATCACCCAGACTCCCATCCAAAGGTGTCATTAACCAAGCACCCCTTTAAAAAAGGAGCTTATCATCTCATGGCGTCCAATGTGTCTTGAGGGCAGAAACGTTACAGTGAGCGCGCGCATGCCGCCAAGAGCGGAGGCATCCAAAATGGTCTCAAGTAATCCAAATTCACGATAACATCTAACAATTGCAGATCGAGCGCTTTCGAGCACGGCTTTGTCCATCTCTATAATCGCGAAGCGCGATTGCGGTCTATAGCCAAAGAATGCATCCATTCAAACGGTTGGAGTATCGTTTGCAAAGAAATTTCACAAAGTATCATTGCACACAACTTCCGTTTGTTGCTTCTACTCGGTATTCCGATTGTGACCACAAGTTGCAAATGGCTCTGGAGACTTGCATGGAAGTACTGACAACGTACGGTCCACAACTAGATGGCCGGCTTGACGTATGGACGGCCGGACCACACCTTGTATATGGCTCTTCCTAGCAAAGAGTGGAACTCTTAATAACTATTCACAAGGTGTGGTCCAACACAGGACCGAAACTGCTCGCCACATGCTTCCAAATGGCATGAATGGCCGGTCTGACTGACAAGTGAGTAGATCGAAACTTGCATTGGGCTTCATCATGAAGAATAACACTGTGAGTGGTATAAATTCGGTAATGAAATGACAAGGTGTGGTCAAACCGGAGAGGTCACTTGCTTCCCACGTACACGCACTTCGAAGAGCGTTCACATGAGCACATCCAAGAAGGGGCGACACATTGACCATCACAATAGGGCACATTGAGAAGCCCGCATCGTCAATGATTCAATTCGCATGTGATTTCAAAGTGCACTCGATCCTCTATCTTAGAGCATCTCAGGTGGTCTATCCAACTACGATCTAGGCATCCTAACTACGATTTGACACTCGTCATCCTGGTTCACCATCGCCGGCCACCTGAAGTGAACCCCATCAACGTACTCTCTCAATGCTGCGGGAACGATTCGCGACTTTAGAGCAGGTGAATCTTTGAGTCGCAACTTCAAGAGCTGGGCCATGAGATCTACCCCTACCGGCCCATCGACTGGCCGTGTCCGTGTCTTTGGCTTCCGCAGCATTTTCCACCCCCCATAAATACGAGCACCCCTTCGCCCCTGCGCGTTCCGCGGCAATCGGCTGTTTTGCATGGCCACGAGCTGCAACCCGAGCTCTGAAAAGACGTGGTTCAGAGCGATCGTGGCCGATTTTTGCTTTGCCAGGACATCCTGGTTTGGGAGGGCGCGTGCCTGGAACAGCTTCACGGTTTCAGAGTAATCCCGGAAGTAGCTGGTGGCCGCCAGCTCCTCCCTCAACTCTGCAAGGGGCCTGGTGACGTGCTCGTGGGCGAGGGGGTGCGGAAAGCCCATCACCTGCAGCAACTCCTTTGCAATTTCGGCCTTTTGGGGGCCGTACCTTTGCCGCCCAATCTCCTCACTGTCGGACTCGTACCGAGGTACAACGACCTGCAAGATGAACTCGACCGCAAGGTTCGGATAGGGGCCAAATGTCCGCAGAAAGTTGGCGTCCAACTGCCGCACGCGGTAGAAGTGTGCCAGCTGGTACTTCTTCAGTTGCACCCTCTCCCCCGGGTAGTCTTCGTTCCTGCGGACCCGACCCTCGATGGCGGCGAACTGACCAGGCGTGATGTCAGAGGCGGCGATCATTTGCTCGAGCGTAAACTTGCCCCGACTTTGTTCCCCCCTGCCCGGCTCACCCCCAACGGCCGGGTCCAGGACTCGCACCCCCCTCACGACGTGGCCATCGCTCTCCAACAGCTCCGTGAACTCCTCGTAAAAGTGCGTCCGGCCATTGAATAGCTCCTTCTCGTTGTGCGCGAGCAGGCGGGTGGTTGCGCCCTCGCAGAAAACCCCCGCTCCGACCTTCTCATCCCGGTTAAGGAACCACTGGTACGTTTCCTCGACCCCCAGCCTCGGGACCCTTCCAGCATTCTTCCCCATTACCGTCCTGTACGCGCTTCCCTCTGGCCCCGTCGTCGGCAAGTTGATGCCCTTCCCGACAAAGCACAGGACCATTGGGTCGACCAGCTGCCGGACCCGCCCCTTCATCTGGTCGAGCCCCCGCGGGTGCGTGCTTTTCCTGCAAATGTACAGGAACATCCGGTGGAACCATGGCTGGTTGAAGTCCACCCCTGCCTCCACCGTGGGACTGATAATGACGAGCCGCTTTGCCCAGCTCTCGTTCACGTTTCCAAGGCCCCGCTTCACCTCCCTGTGAGAGTGCCGCGTGATGACGAGAATCTGCCCCTCGTCCACAAGCCCCCGCTCTGCAACCACGCTGCCCAGGTCCCGCGCCCTGTCCGACGACATGCTGACTGCAAAGACGTTTTGGCCGGCCTCGAGCGCCTCAAAGATTCCGCTTTCCCATATTTGGAGCCCTGCTCGCCCCTCAAGGAACTCAAACTGGAGAGGCCGCTCTGGCACGTGCTTGTTGATGATCATAGGGGAACAGCGGATCCCGTGCAGCGTCATGAAGTCAAAGGTTCGCTGCCCCAGATGCCCGTCCAGGCAGATGACTCGACGCACGCGTCGAAGCAATTCGACGATCAGCCGGATGATGACCTGCCTATACGAGAGGGTGTCGGCCGAGAGGTGCGCGAGGATTGACTCGCTCTCGTCGAGGATGACCAGGTCAAAGGCCGGAGCGCATGCCTGGTCGCCGAGGAGCCTGGGAAGGCTGTCGACCTGGCAGATGACGCGCGGGTAGAGCTCCCTGTCGGCGAGAGGCTCGATGAAGCGCTCCCCGACCTCGCGCCCGCGTTTCGTTTTCAGTTCGCCGTAGTGCGCGAAATCAGGGTTCTTCCCGGCTGCATCGCTGGCTTGTGTTTGCCGATAGGTGATCGCGAGGGCCGTCTCTGGTCGGGGGGGCTCTTGGATGATGGCCCGGGTGGTCGTCGACTTTGCGGTGTCCATGGGGCTTCGGATCAGCGCCGCCTTGTAGCGGCCAGCCTGCCACCTGCAAAAAGGAGTCGCTTTGGCATGAGCCAGCTGAAAGTAAACATGTGGGTCCAATTGCACAGCCAAGGCGACTGTGTTGTCCCATTTGCAAAAGCCTTGACCTGCAACATCCTTCCTCAGTGTCGATCTGCCTTGAAAAGCGGCTCACACTACCACCAAGAAAGAAGCCAATCCAGAAGCATCACACGAGACTGGACCACACCTTGCACAAAGCTCGGCTCAGAAAAGAGGGGGATCCTTTACAAACATTGTTAGGGTGTGGTCCAGTTAACCAGGACTGATTGCCCCATGTTTTTCAACGGCCTAAATGGCCGGTCTGATCTACGCACGGGCTGGACCACACCTTGGGTAAGACTCTTTCTAACGGTTCCTAAGAATCATTGACAAAGTGCGGTCCAGTCAATCAGAACTGCTCGCAACATGCTTCTGAAAGGCCAGATGGCTGGCCTGCCTTACGACTGGCTGAACCACACCTTGTGAAAGACTTCCTCTAGCAAAAGGCAAGTTCCTAAATAACATCGACAGGGTGTGGTCCAAGACCAAACCCTGCTCGCCATGGGCTTTCGAACGGCTAGACTGACTTAGGGCTGGCTGACCCTCACCCCACATCTGGCTCGGCCTAAGAATGAAAAGAGCAGGGTTCCTATGAGATATTGGCAAGGTGTGGTCCACACTTGGATGTCCAAACACTAGCTGTCCGGACCACATCTTGAACGGCCTCAAAATCCAAAGAATGGGGCCTGTTTCTGTTGGATTTGTCCAATCTACACTTCAAGGTTTCGCTCACAGACCACGCGCAGAGTTCGCATACGCACTGGCAAAAGTTATGCAAGACTGGCGGTCCTTGATGTGGCTGATCTTGTCTACAAACAAAGCGCTGACACTCACTTGTTCAGAACGTCATTGAACACGACCATGTCCGTCAGGTCCCGGAACCCGCCGCGAATCAGCTGCAGGTCCATGGGCGCCGCAGCCAGCGGCTTCCGCTCCAGGTACCGCATGTTCACCTCCACCGCCCCATCCTTCCAAGTCTTGACGTCCGCGTAGAACGGGCCCAGGTACCGCGCCGGCAGCTCCTTGCAGCACAAACCCGTCCCCGCATCCAGGCGCGCGCTATCACACTTGGCGAAGACAGCGTTACGCTTGGGATCGGCGATGACGAGGATGTCCCGCGAGCCCTCGTGAACGTTGCCCGAATAGCACGGCTCATTCCGGTCGTGCCAGCTAAAGTTCAGAGAGCTCGCTGACAAGGAGCCCCTGCGGTACGCTGTCGGATGCAGGGTCTGGACCAGCTCCGTACACCTCTGGGCCGTGTACGCGCTCGCTGTCGTGGCGTTCTGGTACCGAAAGTGCTCGGGCCTGGTACGGGGGCGTCGGGGCTCGGCTACAGCGTCCGGCAGGCTGGTCGGCACTTGATTGATCTGGACGTGTTCGTCCAGCCAAGTGATGCACGCATCGGCGTTTGGCTTGCTCTCGTCCAAGGGGATGAGGCGGCTGCGAGGGGTTGCGAGCTTTGAACAGTACGGGAGCCGGATCCCCCGGTTCCTGGTGTACACCGACTGGTCGATGAGCTCGGCGTACCGCGGGGGCAGGCGTCGGGCGAGCTCCTTGGCGAGGTGCCCCGCGCCCTGATGGTCGGCGGGTGCAGCCAGGTTGGAGTGGAAGACGAACTGGGGGGAGTGGGTCGAGACCACCAGGTGCAAGCTGAACTTGCCGCCGGGCCCGTAGTCACAGGGGAGCCAGTTGAAGGAATTGGGGGGCAGCTCGATGTTGTAGTCCTCCCGGAAGATGTCCTTGATGGCCGCTTCAAAGGCCTGGATGACCGTCTCGAGCGTCTCCCCTTCCGCCAAACCCCCGTCCCGCTCTAGGTCAAGGTAGGGCTTGCATGGGCACCCCGCCTTGATCGCCTCCTCCAGGTGGCGCTGCCCGCGCAGGTTAGGGTATGCCGTGGGCCAGTCGGGATAGGAACCGAACTCGCGGGAGGGGCACAGGCGCCGGACTTCCACCCGGTGGCCGAGGACCTCTCCGTACCGCCTGCAGAAGCCTTGGGGCCCGTCCTTCGAATCTCGGTAGTCGACGGGCTCCCTCGTGAACTTGCGCTTTGCGAAGAAGAAGGTGCCCAGCACCCTCGTTCTCGTCGTCAGCAGCCTGCCGTCGTGCTCGCTGTGGACAGCAACTTCCCCTTCCGACAGCCGACGGAAGGAAGCCACCTGCACAGTTGAAAGCAAAGTGTCTTTAGATGATGCAAAGCAGACCGAGTCTCTGATAGGTATTGACGGGGTCGGGGAGCCCTCTTCACCGGCCGCCGAGGTTGAGATGCGGCTGTGTTGGTTCCTTAAACTTGCACTTAGGAAAATGGTCTGTCCAACAAAGACAAGTTCTCACTTGGAATGACCATCGCAAATGGAATGCCCATCACGACGGAGCTGGTACAAGATCTGTTCAAGCTTGACAGCACTGACCAGGAGACTTGCGAAAGGGCGAGGCTGTTCTTGGTGGCAGCTACGCAAGCAATCGACGACCTTTGTTGGTCGGGCACATGTGGTGACACGAGCGAGCTGGATTGGCCGGCTTTGTTGAAGGACTTTACCGAGGCTGGCGGCTTTGAAGACTTTGACAGAACCTCGGTCGAGCAATACATCCGATCTATCTTGGATACAGATCCCGAAGGCCTCGATGTGCGTTACTTCGACGAAGAGGAAGAACAGGACGAGCCGATTGATCTCAGAGAGTACTATGGAGATGCTTACTTGTTGACCTTGTGATCCCGGAACCGGACTTGCCGTGTTTTCATACGGCGTACTTGCTTGTTTGAACGACCAGAGGCAAACGGACTGGTCAACTCCGCACAAGTGGCGCAACATCTGGTCGGAAAACCTTTCGAATGGCTTCCATGATCTTTCAATTCCGGTCCTCTCTGAATAATGATGGAACACGATATTTGAACGCTTACTTGCACGATTGGAGCCGCGTCCACGGCCTGAGGCTCGGCGAGCTCTGCAACGCGGGTGTCTCTCACATGCTGGGCCGCGTCCCGACCATCGCCTCCTGCCTGCGCACATGCAGACAAGGGACACGATTACCAGCCTGAGAGCCTTCAGAACCCAGATGATCACAAGACTGCTTGCCAGTGAACCACGTCAAGGTGGTGTTTTCGAAAAAAGGACAGAGCGACTCTTTACAAGCACAGAGTTGGTCTCGCTGAGCAACCTTCAAGGAAGGGAAACGCGTGTGCGCCTCAGCCAATCGGGCTCTAGATGCTTGGCACTTTCTATTGAACACGAGGAGAGGCTTTCAATTCCAATGCTCTACTGAAAGCAGGGCCGATGCTTCTCGCTCCCCACCAGTTGCACACAAGCACCCGGCACTGAAATGCTCTTTCAGAGGCAGTGTTGCACATATGGCAGCGAACTCGAGTTGCGCAGCTGCTCACCACAGTGGACGGGCCTCCGGTCCGCATCCTGGTACCGACGGGCGTCTGGGAGCTCTTTCCGCCCACAATAAACCCATCGCGCCCTGCGAGCTCCTGCATCCGAGCACCAAGCGCTCGCTTGGTTCAGAGCGGCATCGCAGTTACTTAGGGGAACGCCCAACTCTCAAAGGGCATCGCATCATGGGCTACGACACCAAGTTCACTGGCCCACACCTTGCATACGACTCTTCCTTGCAAAACAGGAGGCTTCCTAAAGAATCATTGACAGGGTGTGGTCCAAAGGGTGTCGTCCACTGCTGAGAGTGCCCGCCATTTGCTTACTTAACGGG